AGTTGATCAATGGATTCACTTTTCGCATGTGACTTGATTAAGTTGTCATGCTCACTTGATTATCTGTTATCGAACTCGTGTCTCTGGATTATAATAGCGTGAAATGAAAAGGGATATTTTAATTTGTGAGTTTTCTGGCACTCAGTGGAAATCGGTTGTATTTTCGCTATCCGAGACGAAAGTTTACTGACTCAGCAATGCCCGGTTGCTTGATGAGGCTGCTTCTGTGGAAAGAGTAACCCCATGAACGGATAAATGGTTGATTGTGATAGAATCAAAGGGAGTCTGTTTTCGCACTGTCAATTTACTCGAGTGATTGAAACCCGTGTCATGAGGGGTTAGGTTTGACCTGAGCATGCCGCGGTGAATGCACGTCGCGTTCCAAATTGTCTTCTGTTTTCTGAACGTACTGTCATCATCGTGTAGCGAAGTGAAGCAAACCTTATTGATCGCTGCCAAACTCTTAATGCATACAAGGTAAGTGAGAATGTGTAAGGAGGATAGGGGTTTGGCCTATTTTGAGGGACGGGAAAAGAAAGTGAACAACAACACATGGCGCTCACAGTCCAACTGTGCATACAAACGTTTTCATGCATTCTAAACTGCAACGAGTTCGTGGTTTGTGAGAAATTTGGCCAGATACGAGTGAATCTCAGTGCGTGCCTTTATAAGTTTGGAATTGGAGTGGGTGGATGAATAAGAAAGGCACTGATTAAGAGCAAGAAATTGGGGATCAGGACAATAAGAACAAAATGTTCTTGAAGAATGTTTTACAGGTCTCGAGGTGGTGTTTCACTGCATGCTGTAACAAATATTCCCATGGTATAAAACTACATACCGATAGAAACTTAAGGGATCAGAAAATAAGTTTGTGGTCCTTATTTAAAAGGTCTCCGAAGATAACTGGGTACCTTTAAAGTCAGTGGGGCGAAAACGGAAGCACAAACAAAACGCCTTATGAGATTATTTGGGTTAGGAAGTGATATAAGCCGTAAAGCGTGGGCCTCCTGACCTTCTGAAAAAGGTGACTAACGTGATCAGATTAGGTGAGGTTAAGGTTGAAAATAACACCAAGGTATTTGAAAGATGGTTGTCGATCTATCTGGTCATTTAAAATAGATCGTAAGAAAAGATAGGTAAATAAAAAAGAGGGCTGACATTCAGTAGTTCATCATATTTTTGAAATTTCCAAAGGAGAAATTCAATCCATTATATTTTGAGGGTTCTTAGGAACGTCCCTTTGTTGAGATCACTCCACTATTTCTAACATGTCATCTTGCAGAGGGATCTTAGATGATGGGTAGGGCAGTCCGAAAATGACGCGTTCGCAGATTCAACAGAAAGATAAGAGTTGCTTACAGGCATAGAATAAAATAGAAAAAGGGAAATGATATCACCTTGCAATGCTCCTTGTGAGAAGGGTAGCAATGAAGATATATGACTTTTGTAGCGTGTGAACTGCTGACGGTTGGAGAAATGGGTGAACAAGAGTTCAATCCTAGGACGTTGAACACCGTCTGAAGAGAGGGTATTTAGCAATGTTTGCCCATCAGTCGTGTTAAAGGCATCACTAAAGCCTAGAAAGCATATGCTGACAGCCTTGCCTTTTTTTATCAAATATCGATAAAGC